GTGGTAAAAGCTGAATCCCAATGGTGTTTAGGGACATGTGAAGCAGCAAGAAGAGATAAACCAACTTCTACTATGTGCCTATGCTTCCTCTCAGCTAGGCCATTTTGCTTAGGTGTATATGGACAAGACATTCTATGAACAATCCCTTCTTGAGAGAAAAATTTGGACAAGGCTAAGAATTCACCTCCCACATCACTCTGAACAGTTTTAATATGCTTCTGATATTGGACTTGAATAAGTTTATGAAAATGCATGAAGGCTTGAGTGGTGTCAGACTTGTTTTTGAGAAAATAAGTCCAGCTATATCTAGTAGCATGGTCAATGAAATTCACATAATATTTAAAACCACTAAAGGACTTTAAGGGAGTTGGTCCCCAAAGGTCTGTATGGACAAGTTCAAAAGGATCACATTCATAATGAGAAGCATAAAAAGGAAGCTTATGAAATTTAGCTTGCAAACAAGGCACACAAGGTGAATTCTCATAGTTCAAACTGAAAGGAATATTACAATCATTAAGTGCTCTTTCGACAATCTCAAATGAAGGATGGCCTAAACTATCATGCCAAATTTTCAACTGTTCTCCTTTTTCAGTGACTAGAGAATTAACAGAAAAAAGACTTTTATTCTTGACTGCTTCAAAATCTTGAGCACAAACTGGTTCATTAGTTTTCTTGGATAGATTGTACTTATAAAGACCATTATCAAGTGCTCTTTGTAGTAGAATCTTGCCTGTTGATGGATCCTTTTCAAAATAGACAAATGGATGGAATTCCAAAAACACATGATTATCCTTGGCAAATTTACTAACACTAATAAGGTTTTTAGTGATTTCAGGAACATGGAGAAGGTTTTTAAGGAAGAAAATGTCTTTTGAAGGTGACAAAAATGTAGAACTACCATAATGAGAGATGTGCAAACCTGCTCCATTACCAACTTGGACTCTTTCCCTTCCTTGGTATTCTGAGGCTTAGTTGAGGTTGTTAAAATCATAGGTCACATGGCTTGATACACCGGAATCAGGATACCAGCTGTTTGAATCAAAAGATCCCTGAGAATCATTCTCTAGGTGAGAAACATTCACATTTGGTCCCCTCATTGAGCTTGGATTGAATGGTTATTGTAGTTGTTTCTGTCCTTAGGAGTGAAGTTAAGATCAGTTCTGAATAGCACTTCTTTGCAGTGTGATTATTGTAATGGCAGATCTGGCATCTAGGATTTCCATTATCATAACTCCTGCCTCTCCCTCTGAAGTTTGATATGTCTCTCCCTCTTCCTCTACCTCTGAAATTTCCACGGTTCCCTTGTCATTGAGTGACTAGATTCACTGATAAATTGTTTCTTCCATCAATATTGGCACTGTTTTGGCCATCTGAGCCTTCTATCCTGGCTTCAAAACTCAACAGCACTGAGTATGCCTCCATTACAGTGCAAGGTGAAAACTTGGTAGACAAGGAAACAAGGACTGCGTTGTATTCTTGAGGGAGTCCAGCTAAGATGTAGAGAACATGATCTCTCTCAATGATTTTTTCTCCTGTAGATCCAAGTAAATCACAACATGTGTTGATTTTGTTGAGATACTCTTTCATGGACAAGTTTTCTTTCTTGATAGTCTGCAGCTGCAGCCTATGTTGTAAGATATTGGCATGGTTTTGACTTGCAAAAGTAGACTCTAAGCATTCCCAGATCTCCCTAGTTGTTGTGAGGCCAATTGTGGTAACAAGTACACTCTCAGTGATCGAAGATAGGAGCCAAGAATCCAAGAGTTGATCTTGTCTCATCCATAACAAGAATGAGGGATTGATGGATCTTTGTTGTGTTGTTGCATCTGTGATAAATTCTTCTGGTGCTGGCTGAGTTCCATTGATGAAATGCTCTAAGCCATAGCTTCTAATGGCTGATAAGACTTGTTGTTTCCATAGGAGATGGTTTGATTCTTCTAACTTAACACTGATGAGTTGTGACTGAAGAAATAAAGGTTGCTCATTATTATTTTGAGGAAGAGGATTTTGATTGGCCATGGTTTAGTGAAAGGAAAGGCAGAGGCAGTTCAGAGCCAGGCTTTTCAACCTGCTCTGATACCATATTGAGCAATTTCAACCGCCATTAATGGAGAATCAGACCTTAAGCTTAAAATAGAAAAACAAGGATTGATGCTTTTTACTGCTGCATTATTGAGGATGTTGAAAACAATACAAATGAGGATGCCAGCATTTGTCCAACGTATATATACATCTACCTAACAGCTAGGGCTACCCTATGAGGCATTAGATCAACATCTATGATGAGAATAAAAAGGATCTAAAACTGTACAAAATACAGCTCATGCATGAAGGCATGCACACGCAGAAAAGACAAAAATGACCCTCATAGGATTTGCTACTTTAAGCCTTTCTTGACTAATCTTCTTGATTAATATTAATACTGCTTTCAAATGACAGGTGGTGTCAGGCATTAAAGGCAGTTAGAAAATTGATCATGATGACCCTTGCTGCATTTAATGCCAGCATGGGGTGCATTTAATGCCGCCAGGTCTAGGCATAGGTTCTTGCTTCTTTGGGATAATCGGCTCCTACGAAATGTCCCATCGTCGTGCCATTATCTGAGACCCATGGTAACCTTGCTGACCGTCTCTTGACTGTGGTGCCTTCCTACTCGGCCTTGCAGTTGCCTATGGTTCGGCATTTGTGGCTACCTGACCCACTTTCGGATCCACTTATCGAGGTTAGCGCTTCACCAACTCGGCACTACGTCCCATGACACCTGGTCGTCCACCCACCTTTCGAAGTTGACGTTGTCGTTCCTGTCTTTGATGATCTGGCCCAGTGCTGAGTTCTAGTCGGCCTTTCTTCCGGTTCGACCCTACCGTTCCCCCGTCAAGCGGGCGATTAAGATGGTCAACTCGAATATCAACAAGCGTCCCGACTTCAAAGATTTAAGAGCCTAAACGGATACAATTGTTGGATGGAGTGGACAGAGTTGAGAGAAAACATGAAGTTAACATGGTATAATATCTTTAATTATACTACTCATTTTCATCTCAGCAGCTGTTGATGGAGCAGTTCATAATTGAAAACCAATAATTAGCAGATGAAACGAGTAGACCAATTGTATCATCATTTCGAAAATGAATTATGAACTTGGAAAGCATATGTCCGATATTCGGGAGAATTGTCCATTCGGTTCGCTCTGCAGAACACGGATCCATCACCGCTGTTTCGTTTTCTCTCGGCTTTAACTTTGGGTTCTTGTGTTTTTTTTTTTT